TTTATTATTATTTTAAAAAAATGTATTTAATTTAAATTACTTATTATTTATATTTTATAATAATATATATATACAATATATATAGTTATTATATATATTATATATATACACGTGTGTAATTTAATTATAAGTGTATTTTTATATTAATATAGGTACATATTTCATATAAAAATACACTTAGTATGGCATTATATATATGCATTATATAAAAAAAAAATTAACATTTTTAAAAAATATATTTTAGCCCCCCCTCCCTGCTTCTTACCTGGCCAGGGAGGGGGGATATGGCATTCCCTGGTGGTCCAATGGCATGGACTGTGCATAGGGGGCCCAGCACAAAATGACCATTTATGGTTGTGGAACCAATGTATTAAACACAGAAGAGTATGTAAAAAGAGAGAGAGAGACAGAAAGAAAAATGCCTACTTGCAGTGATCAATTGAAAAACACAGTTTAGTAAACAACAAGACCCTTTGTATATCTTTACCACTCATTTCGTGAAATAAGTAATCAAATATGCTAGCGTATTACCAGGAACAAACTCCCGAATGATACAAGTGCAAGTTACATTGGGGAATGCTTGGAGAACACAAACCTGCCGAATAGTACGAAAATCTACATGAAAGTTCCTCATTGTTTGAACGAACTGGAACGAATGTATAAAGCATTTATACACGAAAGATTATTGTTTTAACAAATTGAAAACGAAAGGCAAAAATACACGAAAGATTGTTTGAACGAATTGAAATGACTGGCATTAATACACGAAAAATTATTGTTTTGAACGAATTGAAACAAATGAGAATCAGTCGTACGTATGAATACAGGGAGCCTAACCCCACGAAAAGGCACGAACAGCGGGAATGGCATGAACAGTACAATTCCCGCCTGTTACCTGAATGTATTTGTGAGATTAGTTGAGTAGCCATCGTTAGTTCAGCGTAATTCGTAGTAAGAGTCTTGCGAATGAGAAAGCAAGGAGACACAAAGGAGAGCTGAGTTGGCGGGAGATTCAAACAAAGGCCGGAACCGGAGTGCAGGTATCCAAGGAGACAGAATGAACTGAACGGCACTGGAAACGTAAGCAGGGGAACGCTAACTCCTCCCACAAATTCAGGCCTTTGGCCTTTAAACATATATATATATATATATATATATATATATTTTGTTTATGAAATCTATTCAGTTGCTACGAGTTTTGCTGGCACAATGTATAGAATAATTTTCCTGATCTTTTCACTTAGGCAACTCTACCCTTGTGTACCATGGCAGATTCATTTAACATTATCACAGAAATTGTTAATCTGCTTGTTGCATCATGTCATGTAGATAGTAAATATTTCTATACTAAAAAAAATTGATTATCCCTGCACAATCAAATGTTTTATAACATAGTCCATCTTACATGATACACATATTTTGCCTTGAGATATTATTTTGTCCCAGGTCTGCAATGTGAAAGTACTATTGCATGTTTATATACCTAACTATTTGGAAAATGTAAATGCCTGGGAATGTAAATCACTAAATGGTGTTTATTAAAGGTTTGGACATTCATCCTGTTTTAAATACTTAAGTGTTCTTAGATTCCTAGAAACATAGAATGTGATGGCAGATAAGAACCATTCGGCCCACCTAGTCTGCCCAATTTTCTAAATACTTTCATTAGTCCCTGGTCTTATCTTATAGTTGGGATAGCCTTATGTCTATCCCACGCATGCTTAAACTCCTTTACTGTGTTAACCTCTACCACTTCATCTGAAAGCAGGGGAGGGCTGGCAGCCTTAGGCGTGGGGGGCAAAACCAGTCAAGTGGCCCATTGCACCACCAAATCAGTTCACCATCCATGCCCACCTTTTCCTGGTTTTATAACGGATATTGATGTTATGCTAATCAGTAGCTCTTTGCCATACCCGCTCCTTCACGGCTCCAGGCACTGCTTGTTGTGAGTGTGAGCCACCGTAAATTAGGGGCAGAGGGCACTTGCACTGCGGTAAAGATGGGGCTGGACAGGAGGAGAGTGCAGTGCAATCAGTGCACTCCCCTCCTGTGGGTCACCAGTAGACTGGTGCACCTGCCCAGGATCAGAGCCGGTGCAAGGATTTTTGCCGCTCTAGACAAAATAAAAATTTGCTGCCCCCCCATGTGACATCACAATGCCCCACCCATATGATCTGCCATATGAACTAACGCCAGTGCTGCACACAGTGTGTGTTTACATTAAAACGCCTGCAGGGACCAGCTATAGACACCAGAACCACTTCATTAAGCTATAGTGTCCCTTTAATGTGAGGTAAATTATAGATTAGTGTCACTAATAATATACTAGATTGCCTACTTACAAGCAGATGAGGATGATGATGGGCTGCAGTTTGGCTCCACTGGTCTGGTGTAGAACAGGATATCTGGAGGCTGTTTGCAACTGTGGTCACAAA